AATTTGATTGGATATTAACGCAGATAGTTTCCAAATTTGTACTAGCCAAAACTTCACTATATCGAGCGCCGACTGTACATTTCTATTTGTTGACCCATAAAATTTTGTCAAATCACAAAAAACAACAGTTTTTGCAGGCTTATTTAACCCAATTGAAAATGCTTTGGTGGTAAATAACACTTTGATCAGGCCTTCTTGAAATAAAAGCTCACCACTTCTTTCAAAAAAGGTAATAATTCTGAATGATAAATGCCGATACCACATTTTAACAATGACAATAAATCATGTATTGATTTTAATTGACGATCCTCCTCAGCTAACAAATCCATAGCATTGTCCACAACTTTAGTTCTCAATTCTTTTTCATCATCTAATGTGATAGTTGATTGATAAATGATGAATTAATAGTTTAAATTTGTTAATTACTAATAATATATGTATAATTATTACTTGCCATTATTAAAATCCATTTTATTCAATTGTATTGCCAAATTATTGCATTCCTTATTTGAAAATGCAAATGCAATAATTGGATCAAGATTAGAACTTATACAGGCCTTTATCATTGAATGAACATTATCTAAATTAATAATTGCAGCATTGTTAATAATATAATGATAAATGAATACAAATTAATAACCATATTAATATTAAAATATATTAAATTTACTTCTTCTTAATTTGGTATTATCAGAATTTTTTGGTTCTGTATTGAAAGGTTCTCTAATTTTTTTCTGGAAAGCATTTTCATAAAATGTGCCTTTTTCATCAACTAGTAAGCAAATTTCATTTAAATGATCAATATAAATATAATGCTGCAAAGGTGTGGGACGAAAATCTGTATAAACAACATGACATGGCTAATTCACCATCATAATATATTTATATTTATATTGAAAAGATTTAATAATTATTTATCAAGAAAAAAAGTTTTAATAAAAACAATAATAACCTGATGATGTGTTTTGCAAATCCATTCAGCAAACTCCATTGAATTTGAAATTATGGCAGACAAAAATACAGTGTGAATGCTATGCGGTAACTATATGATAGTTTCTTCTAATACAACACCGCGATCTGCCAAAGTTATGATGTCTTCATATCTGCTCAAATTGTTGCCATTCATTGCCAGATAGATTAACTAACACTCGGTAATTTTAATTTACCTTTATTGCCATCAATATTAATATCATCAAAGCCTAAAGATCATTGGAAGCATTAAAACATTAAGATCATTTATTGAATCATTTATTATAACTATATTACTTTTTAATTGGTAATATCGTCATTTAATATTCTACCTTGATGTTAAGAAATGAATAATATAAAGTTAAAGATGCTTGGTGAAACTATCTAAACATTTAGGCCCATAAGACAAAACCAATTTAGGCTGTCAAACCTAGTTCAAAGTTTTAATTATATTAGTTTTTTCAGTATATACTAGAGATAGTAACAAAAGTTACATATATAGATTACGTGACTGTAGCACAATGACTGATATTAATTTACTGTGGCACTGTTGTTTCAAAAAAATTTCTTCTCAAGCAATTTAATTTAATGGAGCCTAAATAATTGTATTTTGGATTAGGTTATTAAAAGTTTTTTAATTTTTATCAAGTATCCTTTCCTGAAAAAGGTTGAACTGGCCATCTCACCCAGAAGGTCACGATGCGATGGGAGATTCAGAGTGTTTAGATGAGTTCTGAATTTGGAATTTGCATCCAAGTTCTTTGAAGAACTAGTTAAAGCCTCTCTTATGTTCACGGGTATTGCACCTTTTTGTCAAGCAACGATTCTGGTGTATTATTACACAGGACCTCGGAAAGCATGTAAGCTCAACACGCTCTTGTAGCTCAAATTAATATAGTAATATTTCACTAGTTAAACATTCGAAAATCAATAGTTTTGTAGCGACGCGCCAAGAAAGCAAACTTTCAAGGATAGAAAGGAGAAGTCAGAAACTGTCAAATGGTTTAAACGGATAACAACTCCAAGGCTTAAACCAGTAGGTTTTACTGAAATTTACATATATGGAGACGCGTTAAATGCTCACATTCTTCAAAAATTTAACTTGATACTGATCTCTTATTAATAGATTTGACACAGATTCTATAAAATTTCGGGGTCAATACACCAATAGTTTTATTTGATGAAGGGGTTACAATATAACACGTGCATAAACGTGTAAAGGATAGTTTTATTAAATCAGATACCCCAAGTTCAATATATCAGATTTGATACTTTATTTTTGTAAGAAAATTCAACATTTTGAAACCGGATTGGGAAT